TGGCAACAAGCCAAGGAAATTATAAAGAAATGTCCTACTTGCTTTTTTTACAGTCAGACTCTACTCCCAACAGGATGTAACCCAAAGGGCACTCAGAGGAATGAAATCTGGCAGTTGGATGTGTTTCACTTTGCAGAATTTGGAAAATTGAAATATGTACACCACGCCATTGATACCTATACAAGATTTCAATGGGCAACTGCTTTGAGTTCTGAAAAAGCTGATTTGGTAATCATGCATTTGCTAGAAGTTATGGCCATCATGGGTATACCTGCACAAATTAAATCTGACAATGCTCCAGCATTTTTCTTTGGTAAAAAATGAAACAGTTTTTTGCTTATTACAATATAAAGCATATTACAGGTATACCACACAATCCTACAGGCCAAGCAGTTATAGAAAGATCAAATTGAACTCTAAAGGATATGCTAAATAAACAGAAAGGGATAAAAAAAAAACCAGAAATAGATTACATACTGCTCTATTAACTTTGAATTTTCTCAATGTTAATGAGAAAGGAACAATAGCTGCAGAGAGACATTGGATAATAGAAAAAAAACTACAGCATTAAATCATCCTATATACTTTAAAGATATGCTGACCTCAGAATGGAAACCAGGATATGTTGGGGATGAGGTTTTGCTTTTGTTTCTACAGGAGAAGATAAGCTGTGGATACCATCAAAATTGATAACGGTTTTATCTGAACAAGAGAAACCTCTTAATGAGAAGAGGTGATAGTTCATCGACCAGCATGAACATCCAATTTAAACTAACTTATGCCATTAACACATGCTTTTTATTTAATCAGATAATAATTTGCCAAAAGTGAACCTCCCCCAAGTTAGGCTTGGGGAAAGGTTTTTGTTTTTGTCTTTCAGGAGAATGAAGGCTAAGGAATCTGAAGAACACTGGACAAATGAGACATCTGAAGAAAAAGGACAAATTATCCAGAAAAAAAAATCTCCCAAGAAAAGGAGTAAATTGGCCTGCTGGTATATCACATATAAAATTTCATAAGTCTTCCTAAATGTTTGTTTCTGCTCTTCTCTACAGACATTTAACATAAGTGGTCTTTATGTAGTCCCAGTTCAATTAAAAATTAAAGCTGGCTTTGGAGTTGGAGAATGGTTCTCTCCTTCTCTAAACCCAAGCATGCTTGTTAAAACACAATGCAAAATCTCTGTATTGTGTCAAAAGAGCCATCTGACATGGGACAGAAGAAAACCAAAATTAAGGAACTATTCTACTGCAACTAATCTCATAATTCTTTGGTTCTATTTTGACTCCTTAAAACTTTCTTAAGGCATGAATTTGATATCAAAATTTATAAGATTTATATATATATATTAACTTTTGTCATGATATTAATGGACATACAGAGTACTAATTAATTAATTGTAGAAAAAAGGCTTCATCTAGCTGCCAGTACATGTTTTTGTGTGTTTGAGTCTCTATCAGTTTTCTTCAGGGAATCATGATCATACCTTACAGAAAATTTGAAGTCTCCAAAAATATGATGGGGTCCCACATCAATGATTCCACATGGACAATAATAATACCACTAAGCTGACAAACACCACCCAAAGATCAGCTTTGGCCTACAAACTGCTCAGGACAATGTCAAGAAGGCTAGCTGAGATGATCCAGCCTCACAGACTACTCGAGCAAAGACTTGAGATAAGCCCTGCACTTTCAAATTATGCAGAGACTGGACAGCAAATGATACAGCTACTAGAATGTGACAGTTGACCCAAATTTTTTTCTTTTCAGGATCCCCTAAAGATGCCTTTGCCCCCAAACAGCGGGAAGTAATTTTAAGAACATGACGCCCACATTCCCAAAAGGTGGGGTGGGGTAGTTTTTGTTTTTTCAGTGGGTTTTGGATAATTGTCATTGTTTAGGATGGTTGGTTACAAGTTGTTATTGTTAATGGTCAGGAAAAAGGCTAAAGAAAGATTAGATTTAAGGTTCCTGTTTGAAAAGAAAAGAGGCTATAGGTAAGAGGTAGATTATTGAATCTACTCTGAAAAAAAAAAAGATATAGAAATGATAGAATAAAGGGTAGATTATTAAATCTACTCTGAAAAGAAGGAAGATATGAT